TAGAGGGAATGCTTATTAAATTTGCAGATAACACTAAATCGGGAGGGGTGGAAAATATGGTAGAAGACAGAGTCAGGATACAGGATGATCTTGACAGGCTGCAAAACTGGGCTAAAAGAAATAAAATGAATTTCACCAGGGACAAATGTAAAGTTTTGCACTTAGGTAAAAAAAAATCAAATGCATAATTATAGGATTGGAGAGACTTGTCTTGGCAGTAGTATGTGCGAAAAGGATCTAGGGGTCTTAGTAGACCATACACTGAACATGAGTCAGCAGTGTGATGCCATAGCTAAAAAGGCAAATGCAATTTTGGGCTGTATCAACAGGAGTATAGTGTACAGATCACAGGAAGTGATGGTATCACTTTAAGAAGGAGCATGGGTGCACAATCTCAGATTGAGGAGAAGTAGAGGATCCTTGGACTCCAAGGCATCAGTTCTAGCCTCAGATTACTCTGAAGAGGAGGTTCGAGAGTCTATGGGCTCAGCCCAGTCAAATGAATATAAATGCCAAGAACAAGGCTGCACTTGTAACTGTTGTTCATTGAGTGGTCTTCTGTGCAGGCACACATGGGGATCATTGAGTTCAGGCTTTTTTTATCACACTTCACCCAGGAAAGGGAACATGTTTTTATCCAGGCTGCTGGCACACAAGCAAAGCCTCCAAAGAGGGCCATTGAGTCCAGGCTTTTTACCACACCTCATCAGGGAGGTGAAACATGCCTTTATCCAGGCTGCTGGCATACAAGCAAAGCCTCTAAAGAGGACCATTGAGTCCTGGCTTTTTTATCACACCTCAACAGGGAGGGGGAACATGCCTTTTTCCAGGCTGCTGACACACGGGCAAAGCCTTTGAAGATAACTCTTCTGAGTCCAGCTCTATCCATACAGGCCTTCAGGGGAAATTGGTGACAGCAGGAACAGGCAGTCCTACTATGTGAAACCCTAGGCAGCCAAGGCAGAGAGAATGGCCATTTATCAGCACCATTTCTAAGCCACAGTTGTTCCAATTGCGAGGCTCATTTTGAGCCATAATAACGCAGTAGAAATCCATAAACATTTCTTCTTTAAATGTTGTTTATTCTTAATTAGAATGAGTATCAATTACAAAAAAGAAAACTTTTAAAAAATAATTGATCTCAGTCTCAAACTGAGGTGAGGAAAAAACAGAGAACAGCAATTGAGATTCTCTCTCCACAGCAGCAAAAACAGAACTGAGGGAGTTGCACCCCTCCCCCAAGTCAGGTGATGGTTTTGATGGGAAAGTGCCAGAGAGGAGGGGTGCTCCTAATCTTTTACAAAGCTTGAAAATCTTTTCTGTGGCATGCCTACTCTCAGGCAGTCCCCACATGGGACTGCACAGAACCCATGAAGATGAACAATTGGTTGGGTGGCGGTCGGTGCCATGGAAGCCGTTGGTTCTGAAGGGAGAGCAATCTGTTCTGGCAGGGTACAGGAGGCTGGAGCCCTTCTGACAGGGGCAGGCTAATGATCCTTGGAAGACAGAGGTGAGACATGGTATGGATCCTGAGCAGAAAAACTTCAAGTAGAGTAGTAGGATGAAATAGACCGGGGTTGAGAACATGTTTAGGATTGATGGGCCGAATGCAAGGGCAAATGGAATTGATGATATCTCATGTGGCAACTGGGAGAGTACCGGTATCGAGGCAATGGTGATCTCAAGTCCAAAAACTTGCTGGTGAGAGGAGTCCCAATGGGATCTGTAACAGAAGCGGGTCGGGTTCAATCTCTTATGGTGGTGACCACTTCTGGATCGTGAGCAGCTGTATGTGTGGTGACAGCGAACAAGTAGGTCAGAGGGGTCATGAAGATCTCAATTCTCCCACAGAGGTTCCCAGTCCAGGAAAGACGGCAGATAGCTGCAGACCGATGGTGATTTAGACAGAATGTGAACAATCTGAGCAGGAGCCAGCTGGGACAGAGTCAAAGTTAGTAGAATTCTCTGGTCTGGTGCTCATGGAACAGACAAGGTAGGTTGGTTTATCTTCGGTACTGAAGTCAGAGTGGTGATGGAGACCTGGGGCATGGCTGGTTTTGAGACTGGGGTTGAATCCGGGTGTGACTTCAACTTTTTCCATTTCGGGGCATCTGAAGACTTGTTGGACTTATATTTTTTAATGGCTAAAACTGAGGAAGCTCCCGACATGGCCAAATCTCCCCTCAGAGAGGAGGGAGGTGGCGAGGCCCATGAGCTCGAAGAGAGACACAGCTGGGTGCAAAGAGGTCTCCAGAAGGTGACTTCAAAGCGTAGCAGCTCTGTTCTTTCTTTCAGGCCTGTTTTTTCCTTCCATGCACCCCACTATGAGGAGAGAAATGGGGGGGGGAAGTAGAGAAAAAGAGTAAAAAACCCCCTTTTTGTTTTTAAGGAGCAGACATGGAGGAGAAGAAAGAATAAGGAAGGTTTGAAGAATTATCAGAGGAAAGTTCAAAGAGATGAGGCAGCTCAAGAGGGAACGCAGTGAGAAAAATGCAGCAAGAAGGAACTGTGCAGTTGATGCCTGCTCCCTAGAACACAGAAGAAAAGTGTGCCAAAACGCCAGAGTAGTTCTCCAAGGTCCATGTGTGTGACTGCAAAGAGACCACGAAGAAAATGCAAGCGTTGCCTTTGCCACCAGTAGGAGCAGCTCTGCCACCTCCTGGCGCCCCGCCTTCTGGCACAGGAGGCAGAACAAGTTTCTTCCCTGGGACGTGCCATCTGGACAGAGATGTCCACTTTGAACTGCTGGAACATTTCCTTTTGTCCTGCTTGAAAGTGCATCAGAGCCCTCATGGCCAAAGGTGTCCCTTACTAGTGGGCCGTGGAGGAGGGTCTGCCCAGAGTGGAGGCCATCATGCGGGCAGTAATACTCCTAAGGTGCTGGTTGACTGCAGCATTTAAGTGCTGTGCAGTGAGTGCCATGGGCACCACGACCACCTGGCCCCAGAGGTGAGGCCTGGGACCTGCCACCAGCAGCCTCCTGATGCCCCCCTGGTGTCCTGACCAGTCTCCCCGTGCCCTGCAGGTGAACTCACAGAGTGGGGGTGCTATTGAGCCATCTGCCGAGGTGACCGAGGAGAGCCAAGGATGTAGCAGCAGCCAGAGCAGCTGGGGACCAACCCACACCCTTCAGATGAGGGGGACTCCACCATCATCTTACCCCTATCTCCATAGCCAGGCTGCTCCCACAACACCCCTAGGACCTCACGCCAAGGGCCCCGGGTCCACATGTCCATCCAGAAGTAGATGGAACTGAGCAAAAGAGAGGAGGACCAAGGCAGCTAGGTTCCTGGGCAAGTGGTCAAAGTAGGTGAGGTGCCTTGGGGAGGCAGGGCGCAGCAGAACCGGCAGCCACCTGGGATCTACCACTGACCGCTGTGTTCTCAACCTTTACCTAGATCCCTACTCCGATATATAATGCTGATGTTGTGGACCACCTACACTTCCTGATCCCAAGGAGGGGCATAGCAATAGCGGCCTCTGTGGTCATCACTGTGTCCCCAAGCCTGGCAGCTGAGGAGGAGGCAATGCAGAGGGAAGACTCAGCTTCCTCAGATGGCAACAGCCCTGGCCCATCAAAGAAAGGGGAGGGCAGGGGTGGCAATGGTGAGGCATGTTCCCCTGAGCCAGGTGTTGCAGCTGCTGGTGGTCCTGAGGAGGCGGGATTCTGGCCCCTTGCTGGGTCCATGGGCATGGGGCCCATGGCTGACACAGCCCATCCCGCTCACCCTTTCCTCCACGTGGGTGGCAATTGATTGTGAGTGGCTGGAAAGCCATCGTGAGTAGTGGGAAGCCTCTTCCAGTGGTCAGCAATAGGGGCTGGCAGTGTCTGTGACGATGGCTGCTGGGAACCTGGAGGGGCATCTTGACGTAGCGAGGGAGGTGGATGAAGAACCGGGGTGCATCAAATGGCTTCCAGGGAATCTGTCAGAGGCTTTCCATGCCCCCTGGAACCCTCCACACTGGCCCCACCTGTCCTCCAGCAGGGTGGCACGGAGTTGGTGTGAGGATGCCCTTGACAGCGTGGCTGTCCTGCTGGTTGCTGTGGCTGCCAGTGAGCAACCAGCACTCGCACTTCCACATTCTTGTGATGATGGACCACTCTGTCCATTGTAGTCCTCTGGGACCCTGTGTGCTCTGTGTGCTGAGCGAGTGCTTAGAGTACCCATGGGGGGGTTGACATCCTCCTCCCCACTGACAGATGGCTAGGGATTCTGATGGGAGCTGGTCTTTTTAAAGGGGGTGCTGCTGAGGAGGAGTGAGGCTCCTCTGGCCCACCCCTTTTCGCCTCCTGCTGGTGACAGATTCTAGCCTTGGTCCCCTCGACTCCCATTGATTCTGTCTTCCCTGTTGTTCATACTATCCCCACCTAGCAACAATGGTGGGATGGAACACTACAGTGTAAATGCCACAGATGCTACCATGGCAGCTCCCACCAACACTTCCAGAACACCTATTTTCTCATCTTTGGCTACCATGTGACTTTCCCCTTAGGGAGACTACTAGTGGCACCGTAGCTTTGCTGGGGCCATCTACCGCAGCATTGGCACAACACAGGATTGCTCTGCCCAAGACCTATTTTAAATGGATATTTAGTGTAGAGAAGTGAGGGGAGTGCAAAATAATCAAAATGCAAAATAATCAAAATGAAATAAATAAATGCAAAATAATCTAAACAAGCAATCTTCATAATTACATGGAGAGATCACCCTTTTCCTGTCTGTCCCCATACTAAAATGCCCTATCAAGTGGCTTTTCCTTTAAAAAAATGGCATAGAGCTGTATGTAGTATACACATTCATGTGTAACGTATAATAAACACAGGGATTACTTCAGCCACGTGCAAGCCCAACTGCTTGATATATTTATACTAGCTACTTGTTGTGTGGAGGTATACTAAACTACCTAAAAACTACTCTCCAGAGCAATATCCTACGCATTCCTTTACTAATTTGATTCACTGTGACATTGTTTTCCAAATTTGGCGCCTTCAACCTTACCTTAGGTCCTGGAAGACCATGAGGACCCTGCATTTGGAAAAAAGAACAAGAAAACAGCATGAACTGTTCCTGTCACTTGTGCTTGAATTTCTGGCTTTCAGAAACACACAAATGCTCAAAGCTTCCGTATTCCTGTTATTGGCTTTTAACGTCTATATTGGCTAACAAATCAAATAGTAACAAACAACAAATCAGAGGTTTTATATATGAGGATGAATTTAAATTTTTCCAAAGGACAAGTTGATTTCCATAGCAAAAGAAGGAAAAACAGCTACGGTAGGTGTAAAATTCTGAACACGAGAATGATTTTCAGAGAAAGAGTTAAGTGTTTCCTTATTCCCTCCCCCAGCTCAAAAAAACAGGTTGCTTACCAGTAACTGGTGATCTTCGAGTGGTCATCTGTGCATTCACACCAATGGGATCTAGTGCGCCTGCGCTGGATCTGCCGGTGCCTAGCAAGCTCTCTTAAAAGGATTTTCGTGCCTGGCCCAACTGAGCATGCTCAGGAGCCCCAGTGAGCATGCCCAGAAGGGCAGGCACAGACATCCCACCAGTTCCTACCAACCGCCGCGTATCAATCTCCTAATAAAACAGGTAGAAGAAGACAGCAGCGGGGCAGGAGGGCGGGTGGTGTGAATGCACAGATGACCACTCGAAGATTACCAGTTACTGGTAAGCAACCTGTTTATCTTCTTCGTGGTCTCTGTGCTTCACACCAATGGGAGATTAGCGAGCAGTAGCCTACCTGGAGGCGGGTGCTGTCAGGTGTTTACTGCTTAGCCGATGATAAAACCTGACATCCCAGACTGTCACTAGTGGACTTGCGGACGTCTAGGGTGTAGTGCCTGATGAAGGTATTAGGCGTGGCCCAGGTTGCGGCTCTGCAAATGTCTTGCACCTGTACTCCCTTCAAGAGCGCAGTGGATGTAGCGACAGCCCTGGCGGAATGAGCCCGTACCGGGCCTGGCAACGGCTGTTTCGCCAGTAGGTAACACAGTTCTATCAGACCTACGATCCACTTGGATAGACGTTGGGCAGTGATCGGATTGCCCACACGAGGAGTAGCGTATGAGACAAACAGCTGTGACGTTTGTCTGGTGGAGCGTGTTTTATTCAGATAGAAGTGGAGGGCCCACTTCACGTCCAAAGTGTGCATTAGCCTGTCTTCCTGTGATTTCGGGTCAGGATAGAAATCAGGGAGGAA